GCAACTTGGTCTTGTTGTCAGAGCGACTTAGTAGAACGCACCAAGTCCGAATTCGTCTGCCATAGAAGTTTTCATGATTCCCAGCATCAGAAAGTGGACTTGGTACATTCTCAAACGTTACGCCGACATGGCAGATGACTTCGGACTTGGTATGTTTCACTAAGTCGCCCTGACAACAAGACCAAGTTGCGACAACAAGGTCACCCCACTTCTATACATCGAAAGGAGACTGCGATCCTACCAGAGGCCAAAATATCTTGGTCTTCATTTCTTCAATTAAGGAATTAACTTAACTTCTCACCCGAGACGAAGGCAGATGCTTCATGGACTACGTCAACGTGAACTTCGTATTAAAACCAAACCACGGCAGTAGAACTGGTATCAGCCGTTGTCTTCTAGTAAGCTCGACCTTCTAATCACTTCTTCATGCATTTTGATACATATTGAATGCCTCCCAAGCAATTCCTCCTTGTTAGTACAGATCGTTCAAAGTGAGAGTGAGCTCCGACTTAATGAGACATGTGGGTCACCGGTTTATAGAGATCAAGAGAGAGTATGTAGTTGAGAAGAAGAGAACAGATGCTGTTCTAGCTGATGAGAAGAAAGTGAAGAACAGACCAGATGATTGAGGCTGAGTGAACATGCTTTCACCTTTCACACATGAATTAACTCAAGTGTGGAGAAAGCCCCGGGCGAGACAAACTGGCTGGAGATGCGGTATCACAACCGCTACTGCAACCTAAAAAAACACAAGAATCAGAGAAAGATAGATCGTCTTTTAGAAATAGTAAATGATTGAATCTGCGAATTTCGGGCCTTCTGTCTCTTCTAACATTAGTCAAGATGATTGTGGAGGCTTTTTGGATCCGAGCCTAAGAGTGTGCATGTCATGGCACATCCTCATGTACCGATCGTTTGGTACCGTTGCACGTGGGCTTTGTCTCCTCTTTACAAGCACTGTTTGCACTCCATTTGTTTGTCCTGTACACAAAGAAGATGATGGTGGAATGACACTACTTGACACTGTACCTCAACCATCCCTCCTTGTTCTGCAATGCAAGCGCAGGATGGAATTTGGGCTGACTTCAAATGCCCACGCAATGGACCCAATTGTCTGTTGTCGGTTGTAAGCAAAGCGAAAATCTCCTCTTTAACTCATTGCAGACGACGCCGATAGGGATCGTCAACTGAAGACGCACACTTTGAACTGACTCTCCTGTCGAGAACGAGAGTCTGAAAAACCAATACATGCGTCGAGGCTACAGGAAGACAAGGCCAGATTTCAGGTACGAAGTGTATTCATCATATTCCGTTTAAAGTGATAAGGTGCTAATTGAATTTTTCCACAATCACGGAATTTCACGTAGCCTGGCCTGCCCAGAAAGTGTTCTCATCCAAGAAGGAGTGGACTGCAGATTCGAGCTCACCCAGGTCTTATCAATGCCCCCAGCGGGACTCGAACGTAAGCTGTGTTCGTGCAGCGTATCATCACGACACTTCAACCACTGCGCCACACCTCCACGAGTGTACATGGGTCACAGGGCAGATGTGCATTTCAAGGAAGACCGAGCATTTTCGCATATCACATTGCGTGGTGGGATTTTCGACGAAGCAAAGTTTTCGTTGTTATATCAATCGACTACATTACTTATTTTTCGTTTTATAGACAGGTATTAAATACTACCCGTTGAATATATTTATGAGATGTATTCACTCTATTTCCTTTAAGCGGACTTATAGAAGGCATATTTAGTAGAAAAATTGAGTATGTTGGCTTGATTTTTAGCTCTTCTGCTACAGTCCCTGTCGGATGGAGCTAGGAGGGCACGACTTTGCAGCTTTAACGAGTTTTCATGGCAACCTGATGGTTGCATTTTCCCAGACACTTGTATGAGTAGACTTCACATTTCAACTAAATTTAATATAGCTATGTGACTTTCACCTTAAGCTAAATAGGATGAATGCATCTCATAGAAAAAAAGCTGGTCAATGTTCTTGACTTGAGGCTTTTGCAATAATGAATCCCAGCTCTGACGACGTTCGCCAATTAAATAGTAAGAGCTCAACCCGTCTTCGTCCGAAAAGTTGGAGGAAGTCTCGTGGACTGCATCAAACTGAACTTCATATCAATGCCAAACGGCTGCAGTACATTGCAAATCAGCCGGCGTCTTCTGGTGAGATTGACCCGCGAATCTCTTCATCATGCACTTCCATAAGAAATGAAAGTCTTCACAACAATGTATTCATCCTATTTCTTTTAAGGGAATGTAGGAGTGTTGGTTAAGTTTTCCTAAATTCCTAAGAGTAGACCTCATGTTTCCAGTCAATTTCTCAACGGCTTACTTTCTAAAAGGTATTCTCATCCAGACTGGACCGCAGTTTTGCCCCCCCTGCCCCAGTGGCACTCGATTTCTGGTAATGCAATGTACAATCTCGACACGTTATCACCTATGCCACACTGCTAGGAGGCTATGTGAAATTTCATGTGCCCTACTTATTGGATTGTGGGAAAATTCAATTACCAGTCCTTCATCACCATAAACAAACCAGAGTCAATACAGCTTTTATATCAGCTCTACTGGTGGCCTCTAAAAGCAATTTATGAAACGAAAAATAAGGGTGATTTGTCCAAATACATAAAGTATTGTGCATGAACCTAATTCAAATTAATAAGAGTTAAAAAACTAATCAACGAAAAACCCATGAATTCGTGAGCTCGAGCTCAGGTGTACATGTGCTTGATTGCAGTCCACATGTGTACAAACGGATAAGAGACCAATTCCATTTTGAGACCAAATTCTTTGTCCTTAGACGGTCTTTTGGCCCTAATTCCAGTAATCTACAGAGCTATTTAGTCAGTCTTTCTCATATTTTCTTCTGGGAACACATGCATATGTAAGTTTATGTGTGCATATGTGTGGGCATTCATGCACAAGGGTGTATGACATAACACAGTCGATCTGGCCAATCAATTGCTGACCTGTCAACCACCTCAAGTCATCCACGATCAGGCCTTTTTAAGCTTGCACGTTGTGAAATCCTCGCTATGAAATTAAAAGTTCCCGTTTCGGCCCATCTTACAGATGGGCCGATAACACGTAATCATAGGAAATTTCCATATCTAGGCAAAAGTTTTGTAGATACGAAGAGAAACTTGGTTTCGATGAATCTCCTGAGATAATATTGTTAGGGGGAACTTCATTTC